TTTCCGTAGCAAAATAGAAAGAACACCGAATCCCCCGTTGTCATGATTTACAAACACCGGTAGGATAATTCTGCTGTATCTGATATATAAAACAGGGCTCTGCGGTTTACACAAACGTGGACAAACAACTTTAGGACGCTCAGATGACAAGAAACCTGATGGTTTGTGTTGCACACAAAGAGCAAGGAAAACACGCTCCCGCATTTCGTGCCATTGCAGACGTGCTGCGAGGCCACTAGAGGGCAATGAAACAAATCAGGTTTTCCTCCAGCCCTGTTAAATCCCCGAATTTTCGCACTGAAGGTTTTTCCTATTATAATATATCATGGGATAATAGGGAAATTTATTTCCTATGATTGTTGGCACATAAAATAGCAACTACGTATATATAATGGCAAGAAGAGCTAAGATACAATAATTGTTGGCACATAAAATAGCAACCACATATATATAATGGCAAGAAGAGTTAAGATATAATTAGCTGATTGAGATAAAAATAAAAAATATTACAGAAAGTAAAATGAGGGAGATGATATTAAAAGTGCACATTTGTGTGTGTATGTGGAGAAGGAGGAGGGATGCTGCAATCCCTCACTGCGATTTTCTAACTCCTCTTTTTCCAGAATTTTTCTTTGGGTGTTTTAAGCTCCATGAAACTTTACCTTTTGGGCTGAAAGTTGTCATCGAATTGTATTTGCTGGAGGCAATTAATTTTCCAAATTCTCTAGGATGACTGTTCAGCCATTTCTGAGAAATACAACTGGGGAAAATATTGTGTTTTCCATATAAAAAAAAATAAATCTGGGACGCTTTCTTTAAGGAATGGAAAAACTGAGCCTTGAAGATTGCAGTTGGGAGTCCTTCAGCGTGAAGAACTGGCTAATAAACCCAAAGTTGTCTATTTTTCCAACTTTTTAGAAAAATCTGGTTTTCACGCAATCAGTGGATGCTTAGTATTGAATATTCTGAAAGAGGGAATGAGCACCGGTTTCCTGCAGCACTTCAAAAGGGACAAGTAAGACAACACATGCAACGCCATGCCAATTTGTACTTGGTTAAAAACAAAAACAAAGAAAAAAAAATGAAACGACATTCAAATGGTAAGGAATATAATTAGTGCCAATCAACATGTTTTTGTAGAAAACAGGTCAAATATAAACCCAACAACTTTCTTTGATGAGATTACAGGTTTAGCTGACAAAGGAAACTCTGTAGATACAATACAGTTAACATTTCATGTTGGATTTAGTACCATATAAGTATTTTAATAAAAAAAGAAGTGCTACCCGGTATCAATACAGCAAATGATAACTGGATTAAGACGGACTTTCACCAGAATTGTTATGAAGCGCAGTGATCAAGCCTCAGAAATAATTATAAAATCAGTGCTGGTAAAATTGGAAGATCACATGAAGGTCAGAGTTACAGCAAATGCTGATAATGCCGGGGCGCCCACACTGCACAGTTGAGTTTAACATAGTTAAACCCCAAGTTCTACATCTAGGAAGGTGAAACCCAAAAATTTTACATCTAGGAACAAAGAATAAAGGCACATCTACAGAAGCGTGTATAAAGAGCAGTGTGCCCAGGGAGGGAACCTGACCTTTATTTACGTCATTGATTAAGTTCATTCTGTGATATCGTGTCCAGTTCTGGTATCCACTTTTCACAGAAAAAAAAAGAAAGCTGATTTTAAAAGACGGAAACTTCAAGAAAATTCAAAGCTAAATTTAAAAAATCTTTCTGGTGAAAGTCACTGATATGAGAACATTGATGCATAAAGCTACAATTTCGACTAGACACATTTCCCGATGAAAAGTAATTAGTTGAATAATACCAACTGTTCTCCTGAAGAGATGGTGCATCCGTGGCTTTCACTGTCAGTCACCTGCTGTTACAAATATATATCTTCACCTAGTTTAAGCTTCTGGCTATGGGTCTTCATTATGCCTTTCCCTACTAGCTTACAAAGTGCCTTTATGTGTGAAAGAGTTTTTCTTCTATGAACACCTGAAATACAGTTCCGTTAAAAATTGAAAAAGACGTGGTATAACTGAGTCACCTAAAAATAACCAAAGCAAAGGAGAAAGGAGCAGCCAGAATGGAAATATATTCACCTCAATAAGCCATAGGAAGCTGGTTGCCTGCGGAAAGGTCAGGACCAAAAACTACAGAGCAAAAAGTCCTGGGGGCTGGGAGCACTGCGTCACTGAAGATGATTTCTCAGTCTTTGATGACACTTTCTGCAGTGGCCCAGCAGAGCACAGACCTACATGGTCCTGCAGCAGGAGGTATCTTAGGATGCTTTAGGCAGCAGGAAGAGGGAATATATTTTGTCCACCTTGATATGTTGGGTAGTTAGATTTACTTTTAGACCCTGTGACTAAATGGCATGTAATAAAGGTCAGCTAGAAAAAAATACAAGTTTATCTTTGTCTGCAAGGATAAAGAGAAGATTTTTCAGAAACAGGCCTGAGGAAGAAAGTGGAAAATTTGAAGACTGGGGAAGATGTGGAACTAGGAAGAAAGGGATGTGGGACAAGGTCAAATGACAGAAGATCCTGGAAAGCCAAAGAGCCGGGAAACAATGTGGGGAGAAAACAAACAAATAAAGGCTGAAATAAACTTGGGAGTGGGAAAATGAAGAGACAAGGGCAGAAGAACTGAGTTTTCTACATCAGCTCAATGCAGAGCTGTAACATGGGCTTTGCTTGATCTTGCTTGTCAGCCCTGCATGGTGTGAATGCAGACATCCATCTGGCTGGTACTTCACCAGTTAGGCTCATAAGCCCTGCAGCATAAGACGACAAAATTACTGGCTACGGAGCCACTGGATAAAATCAGTCAAAGTCACAGAAGCAGAGATTCCTGAACTGAAATTTTTGTAAAACAGGACTGAAGTCAGGCAAATCCCATCTCTCCACATCCTCAGCCACACCCAAATATTTAGGGATAGCAGCATCTGTCCAGCATGTTTTCTCCTTTGTGTTTCACAGCAGCTCTTAACAAAATATCTTTATATATTCCTATACGCCTGTGCACAAATGATTTATATACAGGCTTAAGCCCATTGATACACCATTGAGAAAATACTTATGTTAGTGTCTGTTGTAACTCCGTGCTTTCTTGGGAATGACTGATATGCATTAACACAAAGAGAAACGTCCTGGCTTTTGCTAGCTGGGTTGGTTTTAATGCCTGCAAGCCTACAGAGCTCTAGCACTAGACTGATAACACAGTTGATGGTATTGCCCATCAACCAAAAAGCCCTTTCTGCAATCTAGCTCTTACTGAAATCAGTAGAGAACCTGGATCCAAAAGAAAAAAAAATTAGTCTACAAGCGATCTGTGGAAGTCAATAAAGGAGAAAAAGATCTTGATGCAAAAAGATCACAAGAGCAAAACAGACATGACAATGTTGCTTGCTAAAGCATGCTCTGATTTTTCTTTCCAGGAAGTATTGACTTGTTTTCCCAAAAGCTGAGAGCTATATTTGACTGAGTGGCATACTTCAAACAGGAAATAATACAGAGAATTCTCTGACAGTTCTTCGGGGAACCAAAACGCTGAAATTAAAGAAACTCCTGGACCAGATTTTTATCTCAATTGCATTACTGGAAATCCAAAGTAATTCCATTGATTCTAACGGTGTTGCTCTGGATTTGCAGCTGTACGGCTGATCTGCATTGGGCCCTGCGAGAAAATCTTGAGAGTTATTTAAGCAAATGTTAACATCAGGTAGAAAGCAACCTCGTCAGGGTATGACAACTGTCGACACATGCTGTAGCACATCCAGTTATCAAATTGTTTGAACCCGAGTGCTTAAGCGGACGCTCCTATGTCCATATTTAAATACACCAGCAGCATATTTTATAAATGTTGAGTATCTGTCGTTTCCATGTGTGAGCTTTGTGGAGCTCAGGACTTTTTGAAGTGTCATTATGTTCTTATATCTGACTTGAAAAGCCCTGTTTCAGATAAAGTTTTGGCTTTATATTCTAGAGTTGGATAAACAGCACAAAAGCGTTCCATGAGTACTCACTTGAATTCTGGCTTAGACACACTTTTGTCACTGAGAAAACTTGAGGTTTGAGTAGTGTTCTTTGGATTCCACAGCTTTGCACTAAGGATAAGCAAACTGTTTGGATAGCAGAAGTAATGCTCCCAGACTTCACCATGCTCATTAAAAATCCACGTGTCATTTTTAAAAAAAAAAAAGGCTTTTTGTTTCATTTTTTAATTTGAATGGAAACTCTAAACCAGGCCAACCCCTCTCCCCCTCTCCAGATCAATGCAGAGAGTCCCACTACAAGCCTTATCTTTCACCTGGACGTGGATAGATTCAAAGGCCAGAGCAGAATTAAGACACAACATTCTCAACACATCTCGAGACTCAACACATCTCGAGATGATTTCTCAGTTTTCGTTTCCTGGAAATTTTTGCTCTAGTCAGTTTTAAGGGCTACATTTAACCCAAAGACAACAAGATCTGACACAGAACAGCAACAGCTAATCATAATCATCTTTCTTTTGCCTTGACCTTCTTCTAGACTATTTTATCATGTCCTCCCCATAACTAATCTCTTAGTTAAGCTAAGCTCCTTGAGAGCTTCCTTAAGAGAAGGAACTATATCCCGTTCCCTGTAAATCACTGTGTACGCTTGAACCATCATTATTAATATCATTATCAAATTGATGCTCCTGACATTCAATATGCTTGTGAAACTTTTAGCGTGCTATAACAGATGCATAATCAAGATCAAGAAATTCAAAAGCCTGAACTAGAAGCCCTTCAAAATTATCCTAGATGGCATTGAACCATGTGGGAACACATTTACAGGTTGATGTAAAGGTATTTACCTTCAGTGTGTTGGCATCTCTACAGACTCAACACTATGTTGTCTTACTACTGGTATGACCTCGGACCCAGAGGAGATCTGTGCCCAGCTGGAGTGGCAGCTGGAGGCCAGGTCAGATAGGGTAGGACATCTCAGATGGCACTAGACTCCTGTAGGCAAGTCAACTGAGCCCTTTAAATCTTCATCTTCTGGATCAGCATGGAGATCTGCCCTGAAGGTTGAGAATTTGTCTGCATAAGTATATGAAAACTTGATGTCTAGACAAATTTAGGATGTTTTTACATTACTGGCAAGCTGAACAGAGCAAGCAATACAAAGCAGGAAACGTTTTATTTACAACCCATTCTTGGAGTCAAATCTATCTGATCTTTACATTGGTTTATTGTAGGGCAATTTCTAATATTAGTTTAAATGTCCAATATAAGCGTTAGCTTGAAGCACTGGCTTCACATTCACAGTACAATAAAGCAAATAGCTTCCTTGCTGAACTCCATGACCTCCCAGATGAAAAAATGATTGTAAAATAGAAAGTGTGGTTTCTTAATGTTGTTCACAGTTCTAACTTCAAATGCATGATTAGCTATATTTGCAACAGTCAGCGGGCTAAGTGAAACGCCCGGCCTTTGCTCAAATGAACAGCATACCTGCAGAATCGAAAGCTACAGAAAAATCTTGCCTTCTTCAGCATTGATAAAAGCAAGCAAGATGCGCTGTTGCTGCATCCAGGGGAACAGAAATAGTATGCAGTTGGTAGCATGCTGCACTAGGATGGTGGCACTTCTCCTCTGCCTCAGTGAGTTTTGGGAGGTGTCCTTAGTCCTCCTGTGCTTTCCAGGGATGCTCATTTGTGTTTTCATTTGGACATACACATCCTGTCCACCTCATTGTTTCAAAGTCAAGTCATCTTGGTGGCGATATTAAGGTGTTTTTCCTCCCACAACATGAGATGAGATTCTACAGCCCAGAAATGTAGGAAAATTTATTAAGAAAGGTCAGAAGAACAATAACTATAATATTGAGCAAACTCTGATGTCGCATATTATGGCTGCAGAGAAAACCATAGGGCGCTGACCATGTCTATCATAACAGAATTCCCTATCAAAAAGGTAGAAAAAAATAGACACAGCAGAGGACCATAAAACTTTATACGTGCATCATATAGATGCATTTCAGCATAAATTCAACAAAGAAAGCACAAGTGGGTTGTTAATCAGTGACAATAGGACAGGTCATCTCACAGACATCTTTATTCTAAGAAACTCAAACAAGCCTACTGCAGTGTCCCAAGTTCATGCCGTTAAAGCTTTTATCTTGTTGCCATGGTCATCAAGAAGCGCAGTCAAAAGTGTGTATTAGTTTTGAGCCATCTTTCCGCTGCAAGGTGGCCAAATTTTCTGGGAGTGACAAAGAAGCCAAATTTTCTGCAGTTTAAGGCAATATGAAAAGAGTTAGCAACCGTTCACACAAAACCTCCTCATCCGTAGCTGAATGCAGCTTTCTCAAAGAAGGATGAACATAAAAAGGGTATCTCTGTAGCACAGAAGAGTGATTACAAAATAAATAATGGCTTAGCTTATCAGATCAGGTTTGCTTATTTTCATAAGAACTACCACCATCAATCAGGAATCAAGTAGCTACTATTCACATCAGAGTGAAGCAAAGATAATTCGATACGTAAAGCTCTGAAATAGACATAATTTGAAGAGGAGTAAGCAGGTGTTATTTTTTTATTGACTCGATTGTATTGCTTTAATAACCACAACCTACTTTTTAAAAGAGCTATTTAGCTTTTCCAAGCCAAAAAACACGTGAAAAACTGTCTCCCAGCCAAAGCATGTTCTAAACTCACACAGCACGTTACATAAAACCACAGCTGAATGTTGTAAATTCACTCCACAAGGCATTCCTTCACGCAATTAAAACCTCAGAACTGTCGATCCTGTAAGTCTGTAAAGGGTCTTTCCTCCAGCCTTGACAAATACAACTCTGACCACTCCATTTCCTTGCAGATTTCTGCTCCAAAGCTCATTGCGCTGGCCAGGAACCTCCATCTTTTAAATCTCTCCTCTTTTCTATGATACCAAATATAAAGCTCTTGTTTTTGCAGCTGAGGGTTTTGCTGGTTTGTCCCCACATCATCCCACAGCAAGCTCATGGAAGTTTCACAGTATCTGTTAGGCTGCTGAGCTGCAGACTCTTGCCCCTTATGCTGGCCAGTACTAATTCCCTGTTTCCCTTATTCTGTGGAATGCATCCGTCCGTCGCAACCTGGTTTATACCTGGCGAGGTCCACATGTGAATTAGGTATCTGAACTTCCCTTACAGTCACGAGAGATCGGGGCGTGCCTAAAATCAGCTACCTAAATATAGGCATTTAGCGCTATTTGAGGTGCCCAGGGTATTTCAGCTATCTACGCAGGACTGGCAGATATGGTACAGCCCCTAAGGGATATTTGTGTGCTGTAGAGTGGCAGCTGTAGGTTGGCTGAGATATGTTCGGGCTTCCCCAACAGCACTAGGCGTGGGCAACTGAATCAGGCCCTGGGAATTACTCCATTTTGGGTAAACGTGAACTCCCAGGTCGGTGGTTAGTTGAGTCCTTCCAGTGGAGCGTAGTACTGCTCGTGCAAGCACTTCTACTTCACAAGGAAATAAGGGAGCTTCAACCACTGGCCAGCGGCTGGTTTTCAGCTCTCGGCTAAGACATGGTATCTGACTATCCCACCAAAGAGGAGCTTCAGGAAAACTACCAAAGCCAATCTCAGTGTTAATTCAATGCGTTCCCAGACCTCCTGTGAGCAAGTTCCGGATCAGGAGTGCTATCATGTAACTGTAGCCACACTGAAATTTGGCCATTGCAAATGAACGATAGCACTGTAAATCCACAACCGTATAAAATAATATTCATCCCCATTCTTCCCATGGTCATCCATGATTTATCACATAACTGTTCAGGGCTTTAAAAGGTAAATAACAAAACAAAACTAAAAAGCCACCTCCCCCCCAAAAAAAAACCCATCACTGTAAAACTCGTGCAGAACAAAAAACCAGAAGCACAGGGAAAAACCAATGGTGCTTCAGGTTCAGATGCTCCAATACCTACATCTGTGAAACCAAACAGTACATTTGAAGTTATCGGTTGAAGGATTCCCTTCTCAGTTGCATGTGAGTGTATATGCAATAAAGCATAGGGGTAAAACTAACCCATTGTACAAATATATTGGCTCTTGTGGAGTTACACCAATAGGGAATTTAGTCCAGCATAGTAATCCCTTGGTCGCTTGATTCAAAAAGAAATTTTAGATGTTTGGTCAAATTCATGTTTGTCAGGCCAAGTCTTTCGTTAAATTAACAGAAAATGCTGTGTGACAAAATGCAACGAAAAATGACTATTTGACCAAGCCAAAGATAGTTTCAGTCATTTAACTGAGCATCTTCTTCAGACCTTCACAGAAACACATTTGCTATGGCTGCAGTGTGATCCAGTCTCTCCCTTGAGCGTCGTATACTGTTCCCTTCAAGATCTCCAGAAAGTCTACCCACCTACGGTTTTATAGGTCCTGACTTTTCCACAAAGAGACTGTACTCCAGACTAACAGATTGGGCAGTGGGTTAGTTTCAATTGCCCGGATTTTTTATATTTATACTAAATTTTAATTTTTAAATTTAATTTCTTCACCCCTACTTACAATACTTTTTGAACTTCTTAAACACGTTTGCAGGCCCCAAAGCAAACAATTAACATTGCTTCTTTCTTTTTTTTCCTTTGTGACTCTGGCTTTGGTGCAGTCATTGTTTTATTTGATTTGTTTTCTCAGTCTGTTGACCAGCTGGTTTAGATTTCAGAGAGGATTTCTATCAGCATCACAACCTACTCCTGCAGAGAAGCTCTCCAAGATTATACCCTTTACAGTCCAAATCATAAAAACAATGTATGACATTACTCCTAGCAAAGCTCCATCCATTTCTAAGGGCAAAAAAAAAAAGTTACTTCTGTACGTCCTCTATGTTTCCTGTATGTTCCGTAAAAAAAAAAATCTCCAGTTCTCGGCAGTGGGTTAGTTTCAATTGCCCGGATTTTTTATATTTATACTAAATTTTAATTTTTAAATTTAATTTCTTCACCCCTACTTACAATACTTTTTGAACTTCTTAAACACGTTTGCAGGCCCCAAAGCAAACAATTAACATTGCTTCTTTCTTTTTTTTCCTTTGTGACTCTGGCTTTGGTGCAGTCATTGTTTTATTTGATTTGTTTTCTCAGTCTGTTGACCAGCTGGTTTAGATTTCAGAGAGGATTTCTATCAGCATCACAACCTACTCCTGCAGAGAAGCTCTCCAAGATTATACCCTTTACAGTCCAAATCATAAAAACAATGTATGACATTACTCCTAGCAAAGCTCCATCCATTTCTAAGGGCAAAAAAAAAAAGTTACTTCTGTACGTCCTCTATGTTTCCTGTATGTTCCGTAAAAAAAAAAATCATTCCAGTTCTCTGGACTTTAGTAAAGGCCACATTTTTAATGTCTTCATAAAATCTCAACATTTCTATACTCCTGTCTCTCTGTGCCCTTATAACTCCCTCCAAAAACTATAAGAGCAAATGACAGCAACTCTCCCCACCAGCTTCTCTTGGCTATAACAAATCAGGAGCTTATTACCTGCTTATCACCCAGCACCTCTGTCAAGAGCTCAAGACCCAATTCATTCCTATTTATTCACAGAGAGGCCCTTTAGTTGCTTTGTGGAAGGATCTTCTCCTGCCAAATATTTGCTTTTGTAACAAAATAATAGACCTGCATTTTGCTCTCTGTGCACAACGTTCATTGTCAGTGCTGTCCTACATGAAGGTGCAGAGACGTTGGCATTTTGGGGATGCTGCTTTAACATAAGCCAAACATGCAGGGGAGCGACTCAGTATGTTCTCGGAGCCTGAAAACCCAGCGTTAGCGCTTGACAAAACAAACGCAGGCCTCCGATTCAGAAAAAATAAATACAAATGTCTTCCCACCCTGATGTCACTGTTTGGATTATTGCCTAGATAATTCAGTTGAAAAGCAAATCCAGCCTAGCAACTGTCTTGAAAATTGAGTAACCTCAGGTTCAACTGTATTAAAAAACTTCAGCTTCAGGCAAAACTGATGGAACAGCTCATTCGCAGTACTTTCACCAAGCCCTAGCCCTCATTTTATGTTTTTCTGATTACACTTACATTGTGTTACAATTTACCGGCAGCACTATTGTATTATAATATATATTACCACTAGCCGACTCTGACCGTATGCATTCAGCTTCATCAACAGCTAAAGATGCATGGCTCAATGCATATTCATTGCTGTATTGCCATTTCTCAGCTGTTAAAACAGCTGCATGAATCAGCAACAAGTTTCACAACTTAAAATAGATGTAACCCTGCAGGATACTCGGGCTTAATGCGCATTATGATTCTCACTCGTAGGCTGGTAGGAGTTAGGGAGGTGGTGGACTTAACTGCAGTATTCCTCCACTCAAGCATAGCACTACCCTAAAGGTGTAAGCTACATTAGCGTTTCAGTTTGGAGCAGACGTGTGCTTTTGTAATAAATCTCCTGATCGTTGTCACTTATCATGCTTTGGTTCACTTCACAGAGCGGTCTTGGGATGAATGAACCCAATTCCTTTTGACGGAACTAAACCAGAAATGCACCACTGACTTCCATCTGCTAGTGGCACGTGGTTCAGAGGACCAAACTACAGCTACTGAAAAGGAAACCCTCTTGAAACGCACATAGTGTGCTCTGGGTCCTCAGTACGAACTGTTTTGCTCTGCAGATCTGCTCCTCTCAGCCCATACCGCTTGCTAAACGTGGACGGAGCTGAACACAGCTATCTGGCTTCTAGAGAGGAGCTAGCACTTCAGGTGAGCCTGTCATGGAGGCAGGAATTCATGATATAAACCTTGGGGTTGTATGGTTTCTATCCTCAGCAAACAAAAATGTTTCCTTTAAGTTAACAATCATATCTGGCTTTATGAAAAAAAAACCCAACAATTTTCTGTTTGGAGGACATTCTTAACTCTCTTCCAGGTCCTCAGCTCGAAAAGACATCTAAGAGCATGTGCTCAATTATTCAGTCAACAAGCAAATAAACTACCTTTCCTCTTATTCATTTGTTGTGCCAAAAACCTGTAGAGTCATACATGTCGCAGTTATTGCACTTTTAATACTTGTTAGTCCTTCCCCTGTTTGGGGTATGCACCGCTGCTTATGATGGAAAAATCAAGTGTTATGCCATCCCCACGTGTTTTATTTGTCATTATCAGGGGCATAGATCCGCGTGTGTCACTGCTGGAAGAGCTTGGTATTTATTTTAAATTACTGCAATAATAAGGAAAGTGGTTGTATTACATTTACATTAATGTAATGCAAAACATTTAATATGAAAAGGGATTCCTGAACATATTCTTTGCTCAGAATGTTTCCAATACAACCATTCTACTGCTACTGCAATGCCACAGTAGATAATATTGTAGATACTGTTGTTGATGATACGTAGAAACCGCATATCCTCTAGGAATTTCAGTACATACTTGCTGTGTTTCCTTAGTTGGCAACACAGTCCCTTCCTTCCCCTTACTTCAGTGCAAAAACAAACCCTACATGTGATCACTTACAGAGTTCTGTCTAATTATATAAATGTACTAATTATACACACTTTTCAAATGGTGATAGACTTCAAAGTAGGTAAATTTTAAATTGTGCCATTAAGAAAATCTAGTTGATGATGGAAATTTCTGTAATATCATATTGCAATCTTCTACATCGTAATTTTGCTTTCAAGTCAGTATTAATTTAATGACAAGTAGCAGCAGAGAATAATAGAGTTGGGAAAGCAAACAAGGCTGTAAGATTTACAGTGTGATATTGGTCAGCAGATGTTAACAAAAAGGATCAAAAACAATTTGGAAAAGCAATGGATCTAAGGTAAACAATGAGTAGAAAGAAGTTCTGCATGATAAATATGAATACCGAACCTTCAGAAACCACTCTGTTAACAAAGATAAACACCTGCAAGACTGACTTATCCCCATGTGTTCAGCTACTCCTGAGAAAATAGATATGTCATTGAACACTTAATTTACATGCACAGCTATCACACTGCTAAGAACGACTTGCAAATTAGTTACTTGCAGTTCAGAGCATCCCTTTGCATGCAAAATAACGCCAGCTGCATGAACAAACCAGCCCTACAAGTGCACACATAGCTCAGCCCACCAATGTCATACACACCTTTAGGAAAACCAAACCGCCGCACAAGACTTCAGCACGTGCACCTCCTTCTCGTGCCTTGGTACAGGCTTCCGACTGCTATACCCTCACTCCTCAAAACACAGCTCTTTACCTTTAACACTAGATATTCACCACAAACCCTGGTTCTTCAGCATAACTCTTTAGTGAAGTTGTAGTACAAGTGAATGCATGAAAGCTGATATTCTTTTAGCGCTACTCAATAGTTACTCTGTCTATTGCCCTGATGTCCTAGGTGAGTAGTTTATTTCATATAAGTTATAAGAATTTATATATCTTTGCTGTAGAGTCTGGATCTTGCATTGTCAAGACCACTAGGCAGATCAGACAGCAATTACAATGCAGCAACACCATAGGACACTAATCCCTCTGCCTTTAGTTAAGTAATAGCTTATGTGGCAGGGAAGAGACAGAATACATCTTCACTGAAAAACAGGACTGTGTATAGAAAGGGAAATGGTCGATCTTCTCTCACACAAACCCTAGTGTCAAAACAAATAGTCTTACTAAGTCACGGGCTGTCACATTTGACCAAAGACATTTATGGAATGGCTTGATAGAAGCATCTTATAAGCAGCAGGTGGGTGATCCCGAGTTACCAAGCCGAAACCAGGACATCAGGACTTTCCCCCAGTGCTCAAGAACTCCCAGGTCTGAGATTTTGGCTACACCCTTCAGAGTACGGGGTCCAGATATGCTTGAATAGCTTTAAGATCAGAGACTTCTGCTCTGGTGCACCCACATAAAAAAATCTCTAGAAGGCATTAAAACTATCTCCGCACAAGTAACTATTTTTCTTTCTGCATAGTTACACAATGACTCACATACAAAAAAAAACATTTCACAAAAGTTGGAATTTAAAGCAAATATGATGCAAGTTCGGTATTGGAATGAGGAGCTCCAGTAGCAACACAGAGACAGCGCACAGCACAAGAAGTGATTTTGTGCTAATTGGTGACATCTTTGACCTCCGCTCATATGTGAAGCAGTTCCACTCCCTGCCCAATGTTACCTTTTGATATTCTTCCTTGGATCTCAAGGCAGCTTCCATCTGTTCCTGAGAAAACGTGTAGATGGCCGAGCGGTACTGCGTGCCAAAGTCATTACCTTGTCGCATTCCTGGGGAGAGAGAAAACACAGAACACCATGAGGATCATCCTCCCTACCTGACTGGGGCGCAGGCATAAATTCAACAGACCTAAATTTAGGATGTCCCATACACCCGGATTAGCACGGTCTCTTACGTGCATACGCAGTAGGTATTTTTAGGAAGTCCAAGTCTTTCTTTGGTTAAATAGTCCTGAAGAGATTCAACTCTCCTTTTAAATGACATGCAAATGAAATGTGAGCATTTTACATCTTGGTACATCACACAGTAGTCAAATACAGATGTAAAACCCTAAATAATCAAGCTGCAGTTACTGTAATCAAGGTACTCTTAAAATATTTATTTTGAACCATGCAAATGGCTACAAAAAAAAGTTTATTTTACCAAGTGCTTAAAACTTTCCTTGTGCTGGAGGAGTACCTCTCAATGGCAGAAAGGTTCAAGATACCCTTGGAGATAACCAGCTATTCTCCTCTATTCACAAAGCAATGATCTTGCTAAAAGACTAGCATGCAGGTATTGCTGAACTAACTCCGAAGTTATCCGTTCCTACCATCATCACCACTAGTTATGGAGAGAAGGAATGACTCTTATGAAGCTCTCAAGTCTGAGCTCCATAGAGGACTCCGACAGAGAAGTACACTAAGGAGGAGGTTTGGAGAAAGTCTGGCTGCGTTAATACTGTTATAGAGTGAGTAATGCTCAGGAACAGCAACCCTTTCACAATTTTTTTGAGATTGGGAGAAGTAGAAAACAAAGTAATATAAGTAATCTCTAATATAAGTAATGTAAGTAATCTCTACTAAATTCTATTTGCAACCTACATGGGGATAATATGAATGGCAAAAATATATAATACTGTTTATATCTAACATTAAGAAAACAAAACCCTAGTTATACATATTCAGTAACTCCTTGAAATTATATCATAAATTAGTAATTTTGGTACAAGGATTAGACCCTTTACTGCTGATAGACGTAATCCCTTCAAAAGACTAGTTGTACGAAGTTGCTCATGTACGAATTTCCAAAATATGAGATGGATTCTACTCACAAAACTATGAAATAATGGGCCAAAGCAGAGGGAAGTTTACTGTCCCCTTCGGTGACTAGTCCAGATACGGTCTGGCATTACGCAGTCCTAGGCAGCCACGCTGGCCAAAGGCATTGCTGCCTCGCATCGCTATCCATTCCCGTTCCCATTCCCATTCCCATTCCCATTCCCATTCCCATTCCCATTCCCATTCCCATTCCCATTCCCATTCCCATTCCCATTCCCATTCCCATTCCCATTCCCATTCCCATTCCCATTCCCATTCCCTCGGGCAGCAATACCACAAGCCAGCTTTGCTGTGAATCATTCCGTAAGGTCAAACAACAGCCTTAGAGAGGAGCTTTAGCAGTAAGAATGATCTGGAGGTGCAGTTTTGCAACGGCAAGTGCAGTTTTGCGGTTTCTGTCTTTCATAACCTTGTTCCCAATTTTGCATTCTAGAACAGAACTTTTTGCTTTGCTGTAATAAAATGTATTAATTTTGAGTTTGTCTGGTGTTTTATGTGAACTTGGGTGAGTGAAAAAGCTGGAGTGACTGCAACCCAAGACAAATTGGAAATCATCAGGATTTGTCTTTTGAGTGCCACGAGGCTACAGAAGCCCCTTTGAAGATTACCATCAGCTCTCAGGACTATGGAGATGAAACGGAGAAAAACTGTAGGTCCTGATACCCCCTGGCAAAGGGCAGAGGGCAGAGAAAGAGCCTGTGATACTGGGGGGGGAAAAGATGCTATCAACATAACACTACTCATTAAAACATGCTAAATTTTCGCCCTCTTGTACTTTCCAAGGAAACAGAAAAATGGTTTAAAGGATAGTACAATAAACAAATGAAATCTGGCTGAAATATTTATGAAGGAAAAGATGCAGAAATGTTTTCAAAGATGCATTTGGACAAAAAAGTCCATTCGGTGACCAACAGTATACATGAGTGAATGTGATTCCGAAAAATGTTATGGAGTTTTCTGATGATTTGGGTTACTTTTTAACTGCTAAAATGTTACATTATTACACATAGGAACAACAACGACATTCTTCATCAGTACTTCATAGTGTGGTCTGCAAGGCAGAGAATATTTTGCTTATTTCTTTGCAAGTTATTTTAGGGTGGTAGGGAGCTCTTGTAAAGCCAGTGCTACTGAACAGTTAGGCATAAAATGAACACAGGCCAGTAAAGCGTCAGTTTTGCCAGGATATGTTAATGCTGATTGATGTTTGAGCTTAAGCATTAGCGTTCTACAAATCTATTTATTGCTTAACAAACTACTTAACAGCCGACTAGGGAGTAGATTACAAAAATCTCTATAAATAGAGGATCACTATATAGTACGCCAGTTTCTAGCACGCACTTCAAGAGTATGAGTTTAGCCTGAGCTCACATGCACAGTGCTCTGAGTGAGAAGGTAAATAAGATTATTTAATATATGCAAGTGCCACCATTACATAATAATAGGGAAGTGGTCAGCTTAGTTAATTTAACGAAGAGAAGGTTAAGAGGAGAACTGACTCTGATTTACAAACACCTATATAGAGAAATAACCTGAGAAATAAGGCTCTTTAGCCTTGCCAAAGTCATTTAACTAGGTAGAACAATTGAAAGCCAAAGTATACAAAATCCAGATGGGAAATAAGGCAACGTTCAAATAGTGAAGAGCATTTCTCACTGGAACAATGCACCTAAAGCCACATTCCTTTCCTGAGGGCTTCACATCAAGGATATACATTTTCCCCAGAGATATACCAAAGCTCAAAGAGCTGTACAAGGTCAGTGATGAAATTATAAAGTTAAGGAGGAGGTCAGACTGTGCGATAATAACGGCCCCTCCTAGCACTCAATTGTTGGCTTGCGCTGTTAAACCATCCACTAGCTATGAAGAAGACTGAACAGGTATTGTAAGTATTACCCCAAAGCGTAGCTTTAATGTGATCAATCATCTAAGCTAAAATGTCATTTATTTTTACTTGTTACTTAAATCAATTTGTACCTAAATCTCCCACAATAAGTAGCTAATACATTGTCTAAGCCACAAAAACTACGAGATAATAAAACAAAATACATTCCATGTGTACAGACATAATCAATTGCCACTGTTGCTGTTCTTATTTGTAATGTACCTCACATGTGCAAACTTACTTCTCAAGGGTCCGTCACTGATTTTTTAAAACCCTCTGGCAAGTCTTACTTGTTGAGATTCACTAACTCAATGAGTAGCAAACAAGGCAAGAAATTGAATTTACTGAACAACTGTGGTAGGATGATTGAGCTTAACAATCTTGTCTTTGTCTGAAAGAAAGTCTACCGAATCAAAAATGATCTCTGCTTGGCTATCTAAAAATTCTACAATGTCATCTGTAGTTAACTTTCCTTCTGCTTCTGAAATGCCTTTCTTATTTTGTCTGTCATGACATTCTGTCTCTCTCTGTTAACATAACACCACAGTTATGCACATTAGGCTTCAGAGAAGAATGCAAAAATATAAATAATTGATTTAATAACACTGGTAAACACATTGGAAGACATTGTGTACTGCTAAATCAAAAGCCATTCTTACAAGGGATTGTCAACATCGCTGCCATCGATTCTAGCCACACTGGATGCACAGTAGAATCTGAAAAAAATGTTTCTGCTGAGACAACGAACCAACCTCTGATCTTCTGTGCGCCAAAATGGTTCCACTGAAGTCAAGAAATTTGTTCTAAGTTTACAATAATACAACTAAAACCGCAAATAATCTCCACAGGCTTCAAGCCATTCACCTTGCCTACAAGGTCCCAGGTAATTAAAGAGGACTCAAACACATTTGTTAAACACCCTTCAAAACCAGTATCTATTGCAAACTGTAATCAGACATTATAAAAACACTGAGATTTAGAAGTACTTTGAATGACCACTATTTTTGTTACATTTTCATAGAAAAATGAATAAAGGTCTTGACATTATGGACTGGATGGATTAAAGCAATATTTATTATCACTAACGGATGCATTTCAGGATCAGATTTCCCATAAAAATTCTTTGCAAAGAATTTTATCAGAATAAGACATTTGCACTTGAGAAGAAGAAAGTTTTCTTCTTCACCTGTGCCAAACTCCATTTTTAAGAGATGCACATGATTTTGCTTTAATTCCAAATCAAATCAGTGAATCAGGTTTGTCTAAATTTTCGGTACTGGAAGAAGGAATAATTCCTACAGAACATCAGCTGCACATCTTCAGAGCAGCTGGATCTCCTAGGCACGGAAATGCTGATTGCCTACAACTGTTCTTCTGCAAGACGTCTTAAAGTCACTCTCTGTGCAAAGCCTGCCAATTTAGGGATAGAATTTAGGGTAAAGCCAGGAGAGAACTCTTTTCATCAAGGATATAAAATATGGGGAAATCTGTCAGTAGGGTCTGAACCTCCTTTTCATTCTAGGCCGAGACGATAACCAGGTTGCTTCGTAAAGACGTTAACAAAATGTATTAACACTGAGAAATGAGGTCTCCGACAGGAAGAAAGATCTTCACCAACTCTTTCAGAAACTTTGCAATGATAGAATGAAATAACACAGAAAAAGCCTTCTCTGCAGCTGTAATGACCAGCAGATACATTTTGAGTGATCTCAAGCCCATTTCTCTCTAATAGTTTGCAGAAAAGCTTCCAGAGGCCTGAAAGCAGAACGTCATCTTACACGTAGCATCAGACCTGGTCCACTTGGTCACAAAGCACACCCAGAGGACTCGTTCCCAGTGTTGATCAGAATCTCTGTAACTAGAGACAACCAGGCAGAGTTTCAATGTCCCTGCCGTGATGCAGAGGAAGCCAAAGCCTAGGTGATTTACCTGATTTGTATCTGGTGTAAGAAGGTTCAGAGCAGAGGTAGGTCCTTGAGCTTCACATCAGGTCCTCCAGGATTCTGACACCAGAACCCCCTTGGCCAGCCCAGCGGTTCCAAGATCACCCCATTCCATCTGGCTG